AGCCTTGCCCTTTCCCATTCAGCCATACTGATTTCTTTTAGTTGCTTTAAACATGCCCAACTCTCTCACCTCTGGACCTTTGCACATGCTGTTCCCTCTGCCCAGAACACTGTTCCCAACTCTACTAACTTCTGTAATTTACTAACTCAGCTTCAATATCACTACGTCTAAGTGGCCTTCCCTAACCACCACTCCCCCACCATGGGTCCCAGGTGAGCTCCCCGTTTTGTCTTCTAGAGCACCTGCATTTCCTGGGGAACCCTTACTACCCTGTTCTTTTTTTAGTATCTGCTTTCCTTGCTAGACTGCAAGCCCTAGGAAGGCAGAGACCATGTCTCATTCTTCTCTGTGTTGTATTCCTAACTCCAAGCACAGTGTCTTGTTCATAATAGAGATCACTAAATATTTGATGAAGAAAGAAGAAAAGGAAGGTGAGAAGGAGGGAAGGGCTTGTAGGAGCTGCCTCCCCTTTCTCGGCTGAGCCAAGTGAGAAAACGGCCTTCAGTAGCACGAGGGAGGAATGACACAGAGCATTTCCACATGCCAGGGCTTCACGGTGACTCATTTCATCCTCACGACATCTCTGTGGGGTAGAGACCATCACTGGCCCCCCTTGATGAATCTAAGGATCAGAGCGCTGAAGCAGTTTGTCCCGGATCACACAGCTGGGAAGTGACTGCAGTGGGAATTGAATTCAGGCCCGAGGCCAGAGGGTGGGGTTTTAACCAGTACAGTACATTGCCACCCGGGAAGATGCAAACGGCTGTCTAGGCAGCAAGGACCTTTGTGTGCAAAACGGAGTTTACCATGAAATAAAATAAGCATGAAGCTGCATCTCAGAAGTGAGTGATGTGGAAGGAGAAAAAGTTTAATCTTGAAATCCTTAAAATACGTTCACATAAAGCCCCAAGCAATCACTCTTTGAAAAGCCAAACCTCACATATCACCTGTTATTGGAGCCCCGGATGGCAGTCAAATCCTCACCCGTCAAGTGTATAAGGAAGGAAAATAAGGAAGGTTAGAGACCAGTGTGACCTCCAACACTGCAGGGCAGAGTGAGGGCAAACGAAGATTTCACTCCTAAAATGTTTGGCCCCAAGAGAGGGAAGGGCCTTCCTCCTCCACACCCTGGAGGTGTGCTCAGGGGAGCAGCCGCTCAGGCCCCTGGAATCTGGGTGGACCTGTCACTTGCTTTGACCATGACATGGAGGCTTTAAGAGAGTTGGCAGCTTCTAGTACACGCCCCCCCGCCCCGGGGAAGCCAGCTGCTGTGTAAAGAAGCTCAAGCCAGCCCTGACCAGTGTGGCTCAGTAGGTTGGGCGTCATCCCACAAAGTGAGGGGTCGCTGGTGTGATTCTGGGTCAGGGCAAATGCCTGGATTGTGGGTTTTGTCCCCAGTTGGGGCGCACCCGAGAGGCAACCGATCAATGTTTCTATCTCACATAAATGTTTCTCTCTCCTTTCCCCTCTCTCTAAAAATAAATGAATAAAATCTTTTTTAAAAAATGGAAAGAAGCTCAAGCTAGACCACTGGCCATCTTGGGCTCTGCAATGCAGCCATATGAGTGACTTCTGTCACAGTATGGGGAGCAGGACCACTCAGCTGAACCCAGTCAATCCCAGGATCATGAGAAATAATAAATTGTCCTTTTGGACCACGAGATTTTGGTGTGCTTTGTTACCCAGCAATAGCTACCTGACACCTGGAGAGATGGAGAGGTGGGGAGAGAGGGAGAGACAATATGAGAGTCAGGAGAAAACCATCATAACGACTGCACACAAAGTGTACATACAGTGCGAAGCCTGCAGCCAGCGTCTCTCCGTGTGCAGGGGGCTCCCTGGGAGCCCGCTGCACACTCGCAGCAGAACCGGAGCCTCTCTGTCTTGGAAGGCACGAGCCTCTGCCTCTGATGTGATGTGACACACAGCTGCACACCCTCTCTAAGGGCATGAAGCCAGTGGGAAGGGCTCTGCCGGAGGCTCCTGTGGGGTTCATGGTCCAAATCCACACAGAAACAAAAGATTCAGAGGAGGGGGAGAGCACATTCTGTTGCAGGGGTTGAGTTAGGCTTTGTGGAAGAGGAAAACATTTTCATTGTTTCTTCAAGGACAGAAGATTTCCCCACAAGGGGTGATAGGGAGAAGAAGCATCTGGGAAGAGGGAGCAGCATATGCAAAGGCTCAGGGGTGGGCGGAGCCGGGGGGCACATGGGGAAACTGGGAGAGGTACAATTGGGGCTTGCAGGGAGCACAGTGGCTCCAGTGGGAACCTCACAGACTCTGAGCAAGAGCTGAAATTCTCTCATTCACAAGCATTACTTTTCCCTCTAACCTGGGGTTTTTGGGCAGCCACACATTAGAACTGCCAAGAGCCTAGTCCACAACGCTTTGGCAACCTTACTGCGAATATTAAAACCCTTCCTAATTCACACAGAGAGGGGGAACGTGGGGTCAGGAGCCATGGCTTCTAGTCCAGGCATTGTGGCCTACTAGCTGGGTGACTTTGGGCAAATTACTGAACTTGTCGGAGCTCCAGACAAGTTACTTTACTTACCTTTAAAGCTGGTTCACTTTACCTGTCAAGTAGGAATCTGTAACATTACCTGCCTCCCAGGGTAGCTGTGAGGATTAAATGAGATGAGTGTAACAGTATTTTGGCTTTTTACCTAGCATGTTTTTCTTTCTCGCTCCTTTTGTTTCTATAAGGGGGGCATTTGTATAAATACTCCTGGCTTTCTGCCGGGCCCTTCACTCTGACAGGTGAGCTTAGGAGAGGAACTGCTTTGCCTGTAGGGCCCCGTCTGTGCCTCTCTTCCTGCCAGGACTCGCCAGCCATCAGAGCACATGTGCTCTGCCCTGCTCTCTGCCACGCTGGGAGCCCGTAGCGCTCTAGGGCCCAGGAGCCTGTTGATGGGTCTGTGGAAGTGGAGAGAGGGTGCAGAGGGCGGATCTGAGGGCAAACAGAAAATATCTTGCCCATCACCAATAGGAGACATGTTCAGACCATCTCCCAGAGTTCCCCGGGTGGATCAGTCCCAGGGGGATGGAGCTCCAGGTGACCCCAATGGAACCGGCGACACTCCCCTGTACTGGCTTCCTTCCTTACCCTGTTCACTTGTCCACTCCAGAGATCAGCTCCAGAGAAAACTACTTGGACTTGAATTCTTGTTTGGTGACTTGATGAGTCAATGTGACCGGATTGAACTACATTTCCCAGAATTCCATTTTCTGTACATTTCCGGTTCAGGTGGGCCACCAAGAAATTCTTGTGGGAGATGGGAGGACAGTTGGGAAGCAGCCACTGTTTTGCAGCTCGCACATACTGGGGCTGAGCAGCTGGCTCAGCCTGTTGGCCTGAGGCCCACACCTGCTCCACTTCCCTTCAGCTTCTCTGACCACAACCTCAGGACTCCAGTTTCTGCAGGACACCCCATGCCATCAGAGGCAACAAGAACAGACCCCAACTTCAGAGAGTTCTCATGGGTTCCCAGCTTGTCCTGATCTGCCTTATGTTCCGTGTATCTCCCCGCTCCCCCCAGCCCCCCGACCCCTGCCACTGCCTGCCCGCTGAACTTCAGCCTCCAATTCCAGGCACTGTGGCCACAGCCTTACAGAGACTCACACGGTATGTGAATTCTGATCCTTGTAACAGATCCTGAAATGTGGGTACGTATTCTGCCAGAGGAAAAATCAGAGGCAAAGTGTATCAGTCAGGGTTCAGGCAAACCCTCACCAGGAGACGTAGATGATGGTTTTGCTTCTTCCTGGTGGCAGTGGCCCCTGTCGGCCTGAATCCTCACCAATACACCTTGTCTCAAAATTTGCTTCTGGGGGAGCCCAAACCAAGACAGCCAGGAGCTCTCAGGACATACTGGGGTGACTCCGTTAGAGTTGGCGTCCCCACAGGTAGGGATATAGCCAAGCTACATAGCATCCTGAGGACAATATTAAGATACCATCTTGACCCCTCCCCCCAGCTGGTGGGGCCCATATGCTACATAATCAAACTTTATACTCACACCTAACACTTCCTCATGTTCTAGGAAAACAACATTGGCTTACTCTCTCGCATCCAACAAGAAATATTTCTGTTAAAATGTCAACAACATTATCACTTTGTTTTTAAGTGGTGGCATATTGCCTGATGCTCAGAATCCAGGCCCCCAGTGTAGATTCAGCCTATTCCCCAGGGTTGAATCCAAAACCAAGTTCTCAGGAGTTAGAAGAGAACCCCACAACCTTAGCCCAGCAAGGACTGAAAGAGTCAGCTGGGATGGGGCCAGGATTTTCCGGGGATTCTCGGAGGCCAGGATCTGTGGAGCCCAGGGTTCCTCCACCTTCACGGTCACCAGCCCTAAGCAGAGCTGTTGGTTCCCTCCTACTCTTTCCCGCTGGGCTCTGAATAAACAGGCATTAGCCCATTTACCACACGGTCATGTGAATACTGCTCCAACTAACTCTGAGCTTGTCACAGCAAGATGCCGAGGGCAAGCCAGCACCCCTGGCCCACAGGGCAGTGCCTGAGGGAAGTTCAAGGAATGAGATCAAAGAAAGGGCAGCAGATGTCTAGACTCTCAGTCCCAGAACACCGACCCGCAAGAACCCTCCAAGGACTTCTCTCCAAGAAGTCCATCCCCACACAGACAGGAAAACAAAGGTCCAGGACAGAGAAAGACACACAAGCTATGAACTCCTTGAAGCAAGCATGATGACTTGTTTGTCTTTGTTTCCTTAGAACCAGCAGAGAATTCAACACAAAGTAGGCATCTATAGCGAATGAATGAATGAATGAATGAATGAATGAATGAATAAATATGAATGAATCCAGCTAGTTGTAACAAACTTAGAACTGGAAGTCAAACCTCCTGACTGCCAGGCCTTCTCTTCTCCCTGCCTCCCCCAGCCCACCCTCAAGCTTACATCAAAAATACAAATGCCCTTCCATGGTGTACCTGGAATTTTCTTAAAATATTCACCCAGAACCCCCTTGGGTTACTCACCCAGAATCCTGGCTCCTCATCTCAGAAAGCAGAACTTTTGAAAGACCATTCAAAGGCATTTTGAGGGCAAAGGTGTGGAAATCCTGGTTGCTAGGGCAGCTTTTCCAAGTGCGTCAGACGAAGGCCTCCAGCTGTGAAAAGGAGCATAGAATTAAGACAGCTTTCAGTCCTCGCCACCACCTCCAGCCTTGCGTTCCCCACATAATGGTCACTGGGAGATATTAGCATCTAAATTATTTTAAGGAGATATAATAAGATTCACCCAGCAGGCCATTAATGACGAAAGAGATTATTACTGGAAAAAATCCAAGACTGACTTTGAGCAGAGTTGGTTCATCCAAATGACCCTCTCCCTGCACCTCAGATGATCCTGGTCCCCAGAGACTATACAGATTTGAAAAGTAGCTGCCTTGGAACACGCTCACGTTTATGCAAGAGGATCTTGCGGAAGGAATCTCTGGAGAATTAGGGTCAGGAGTGCATAGCAGCGAGATAAATGAGATGTTCCCTGAATCGTAAGAATCCTCTGTGGCAGAATTTACAGGAAGCATCTCCAGTCTCCATATTTGGCAGACGTCCAGCCAGAGTTGTCAAGTATTAGATTAATTTTAATTCAATGCATAAAACCACATTAGTGTAGTGTTGCAATTGAGAGTTGAAACATACAAAAGCCAAGAGTCCTTGAAGTGAATCATTCTAAAGCCTGAGCATCATTTCAAGTGTCCATCAAAAAAGGCACTTTCTTTTCAGGCACCTTCCCCAGCTAACAACCACCTTCAAATCATGCAGCTCAGCCAGGTAAATGAGCCACTTGGCAGTGACCTGAAGGGATGGTGCCGTTGATTAATGTTATTTCACAGGCCCTGGTCACCAGAGTTAGAGTTCAACTTCCTTGACATGGCATTCAAGACCATCCACACGGCCCTTTGATTGCCATTGGTAGTCTTCCTGCCACACTTAACTTGTACTCCTTCCTCCCTTTGTCTGCTCCACTCGGAGCTCTGGAAGAGAGAAACCCAAAATACCATGCATTTTCAGGCACCCCCTCCCCAAGCCCCAGCACAGTGCTGAGGGGGCCCAGAACACCAGACCCTCCATGATTCCAGAGCTGATGGGAAGCTCACTCCCTCACAGCAGAACAGCCTAAATTGAAAAACCTCCAACAGTTTCGAAATGACAAATCTCTTGGCACAGAGATTACATGGCCCTCAGCCAGCTTAGGTGATATATGGGTATTAAAATCCAAGACTCAGAAGAATCTGATGGTGCAGATACTCATTTCTAAACCAGCATTCCAGGTGGGAGAGAGTATTTGGCCACCACGAGTAACATGTTGCATTGGAAGAGCAGGTGAAGGCACCAGCAGTCAGTTTCCTTACTTGGGCCTCATTTCCCTCACCTGTGTAAGACGGAGGGGGGGCCCGGATTGGGGGCCCGGATTGGGATGGCAAGTAACCAACTAACTGCCCCATTATCCCTCCCCACACCCATGGCAGACATTGATAATAGAGCACCAAATCTTTCTCAACACAGTGTTCCAGGCAATCGCTAGAGACCGTGACTATGAACCTGTTTGCCAGTGCTAGATACGCTCTACTCTCCCAAGTATAGATAGGAATACAGAGCACATCCACCCTCTGGCCAGCGATGGCCAGCTGTGTCTTCCCACATGGAATCTCTCTGCCCTCTGACCCTCCTGCCTCCCTCTTTCACTTGTAAGAACACTTGTGATTACACCAGGCCCCCCCAGATTATCCAGGATAACCTCCCCGTCTCATGGGCAAAAGGGGCAAAAAGTCTCTTTTGCCATGTAAGGTAATGTGGTCACAGATTCCAGGGGTCAGAACATGCACACCTTTGGGGGCAGCTATTCTGGCCAGCACAGAGACCTCGTGGTATTGTGCCTTAGGGTTAGATAAAATGATGCGTGTAAACAGCTTACACCCAGGGCCGGGCACTTGGTAAACTCTCAGGAAATATTAACTGTTGTTACTGTTGTGTTCCCCACCCTGACCGTGCACCTACTGCAAGTGAGTGTTCGATAAACATTAGACATTATTGTTGTTGTCCTTGGGCCTCCCAGCCCTGCATCTTAGACACCCTCCATGTGGCATTTGTTCCACTATATTATATGTAAGTGTTTACAGGCCTCTTTCTCCATCTCCTCAGGGAAAGCCAGGCAAAGCAAGGCAGCACTGGCCTCCCCCAGGGCCTGGCATAAAGTGGACTTGCAGGAAAGGTCCCAGGAAAGGCAGAGTAAGAGCCAGACGCTGTGGCTCTCAGGGAAGTGGGCACAGTGTTGAGGTAGATCCCACAGCTCTGACACTCAGAACAAAAAGGTGAGCCACCCCTGCCTCCGCTGGTGGCCCGCTGGGCTGGGCAGCGTGCCCCCACCTCATTCCTGCTCCCTGATGAGACGCCAGTCTTCCAGAGGAAGTGTTCAGCGCAAACAACGAACCTGCGTGCGCAGGAGCCGTGCTGGAGCAGAGCAGCAGCTTGCGCTGCATTCGTTTCTTTGCCCAAATGCACGACTGGGGTGTCAGCCACTGGCCTGGAAAATTTCCATTTAGCAACATCACTCTCTTCTTTTGGGAGAACTAGGCCCGGGCAGAGACATGACACACCTTTTCTCTCCGAGCTGTACTCAATGCTTCTTCATGAGATGGAACAGCCAGGACAGAAATTAAGAAGCCAGAGTACTTTAACCCTCTGCTTTGCAATGATAGAGGCATGGGGTGGTAATGCACCCAGTGGTCAGGTTTCGGGTGTTCCTCCTGTGCTCTCCTGTCTCACTCGTGCCGTGAAGGCAGCCAGGCCCTTCAGTGTCCCCTGCCCTTGGGGAGGTTTGTTTGATGACAAGAGGTCCAGAAAGGGTCAGATTGCCTGTAAAACATTCCTGGTTTTTGTTTCTTAAACTCTGAGCTCTTTGAAGAGAGTCTGTGATTATCTCCCGGCCTCATCTCTTTCCAGTACCAACCCTCTGAGGTGCATGCACATGTGTACACATATGCACACTTGCACACATGTGTGCATATATATACATGCACATGGCACACGTGCATGTGCACATATACACACATGCATGAGTGCTCACACATCTAGGTATGTGTGCCCAAGTGTGTGTGTGCATGTTTGTATGCACATGCATGTGTGCGTGCATAACCATGTGTGTGGCACACATGCACACACACCTGTGTGTGCACTATGGTATAGTCACATTGACTACTTAAGTTCCTTAACTCACTATGCTTCTTCCTCTCACACCCTGCACTGGTCCCCCATCCAAGGCCTTTGCACCTCCTGCATCCTCTTTCTGGAATATACTTTACCCCTGACTGTTTTTCACTTAGTTACCTCTTTTATCCACAGTTGAACTTTTTGCACTCAATATTTATTATAAATGCCTGTTTACTTGTCTGTCTGAGCAATACACACATCTATTTACTCACTTTTATATTCCTAGTACCTCACATGGGCCTGTTATGTGAAATGAAAGGGTGCGCGAATGGGTAGGAGGATGGATGGATGGATATAGAATCAAATCACTGGTTCCCAGGCTGACTGCAGGACACTTGTTCGAGCCCCAGCCCCCAGGGTGTCTTGCCTGTGCCCACCGATAGCTATCATCATAGTGTCCTATGCACCGTCTCCTCCAGGGCTCTTAGGATGTCTTCAGAATAAAAATTAGGGGTACCCCATAGTTCAGCTATGATCTCGCAGCACCTTCAGCATCTCCAAATAATTAGCATTCCATCAGGCTGGCCCAGTCCTCCCTCTCACGGACATTTAGAAAGGCTGCGTCTCAGAGTGCACACCCGCTGCTGATAGCACATCAGGGAAATCTCCACGAGATGCGGCGCCTTGTCCCAGCCCAAACGGATGGTCGTGCCAAGCTGAGAGATAACGGGTGAGGCCTCCTGGGAGCAGCTGGCGGCTGAGGACAGGGATGAAAAATGTCTGCTTCTTGCTGGGTTTCAGCGTTGGTTTGCTCTGAGATGGGGGTTCCTGCCCTCGAGGAAAGCACCATTCAGAGTTTCTCCTCTGGGGAGAGAGCAGGTGCAGGGCACCACCTGGATCACTTGTGAAACTCACAGGGTGCCCCCCCATCCCACCCCCAACACCAAGCTCCCTACCCTGTGAATCTGGCACGCGAGGGATCTCAGAAAACCAGACTACTTACAGTCTCACTCTCTTCTCTTCCAAGCCGGCTCCTCTTCCTGGACCTCACCGGGTAACTGCTGCCACCACTCACCTCTCCCGGGGTGCACACTTCAGCCAGTCTCCCCCAAATCTCCCTTCGTTCTTATCCCGCCCCTCCCCCATCCCATGAGCACTAAGTCCCATTGATTCTTCCTGCTAAAGAACTCCGAATGCTCTTCGCTGTCTACCCCAGGGCCCCACCCTGGATCCACCTCCTCAATCCAGTGTAAACCTCACTGCTCCCCCTTTTCAGCCTCTTCCCAACTCAATGCATTACCCAGCATCGCCTAATAAGCATTCGTTCCTTTGTGCAAAAGCATCTTCGACCACCTGTTATGTGCCATGCACTCAGTTCAGTGCTGAGAAGACACAAACGAATAAGACAGAGCTGACTGTATCACCCTCCTCACCGCCAACACAACTGAATGCATCCCCCATAGCACACCAGACAGGACCTTCCACAATGAGGCTTCACACTGGCCTTGGCCCTCAGCTCCCTCCAAAGCCCAAAGGTTCAAAAGGCACAAGACAACTCACTGTCCCCCCCACCAAGCCCTCTCCTGCCTCTGACTCTTTCTTTCTTTCCCCTTATCAAAGTCCTTCCCATCCTTCAGTGAGAAATGACTCAAATGACATTTCTTCTGTGGAGGTGCCATAATCCTCCAGGTTGGAATTAATCACCCAATTCTCTTCGCTTGCGAAGCATAGCTCCAAAATCAGCATTCTAACATTTATTTCTTCCAGGTTTGTGGTTTAGGTAATGAGGTGGGGAAATTATTATCTAATGGCTGCCACCAGAATTTCTCTGAGGGAAGAAAATGTTGTTCTTTGGGAAACTACTTTGAACGCTAGTCCCAGGTCCCTGCCCTGGGGCTCTTGTATGTGTTCCGGGGCAGGGGGAGGGCGGGTCCTCCCACGCCCCACCTCCCCC